TCTAATTTTGAGGTTACCAGAGCATAGACAGTAGTAGTTAGGCTATACCTGTCCAGATACTTTAGGAGTGTAGCTGGGCCACCAGACAAAGCTGATGGTAGGCACTCAGGGCCACTGAGGCCACCTGAGCCTTGAGTGACCGCAAAGGATCCAGGAGTACCCCGAAGCTACGAACCTGCTCCTTCAGAGGAAGTGTAACCCCATCATGAGCAAGTGCTCTCCAACCCATCTGGTCTAGGCAACCACCCACTAACAGTGCCTCTGGCTTATCCGGATAGAGCTTCAGCTTGTTGATTCTTATCCAGTCCATAACTGAGGCAAGACACTGGTCCAGCACTTCTAGTGCCTCTCCTGCAGATGTAAAGGAGGAATACAGCTGAGTGTCGTCAGCATACTGCTGACAGTGTATTTCAAAGCTCCGGATAAACCCACCCAGCAATTTCATGTAGACGTTGAACAATGTAGGGGATAGGATTGTGCCCTCAAAAACCCCACATTGAAGGTTCCACAGGGCTGAAAGGCATTCCCCAACTAACACCGTCTGGGAACGACCATCCAAGTAGGAATGAAGCCACCACAAAGTGGTGCCCCCACCCCCAGTTCAGACGGTCGCTCCAGAAAGATACCAGGGTCAATGGTATTGAAAGCTGCTGAGGGTCGAATAATTATCAGGGACATGTTTTCCTTGCCTCTTTCTCAACAGAGGTCATCATACAGGGTGACTAAAGCAGTTTCTGTGCCAAAACCATATGGATCCAGAAAATCAGTTTCTTCCCAAAGCACCTGGATCTGGTCTGCGACCACTTGCTCCAGAACCTTGCTCAGGAAAGGGATATTAGCAATTGGCTGGTAATTAGTTGGGTTTTCTGAATCCAGGGAAGTTTTGTGAAGGAGTAGTTTTACCACTGCTTCCTTCAAACAAGCAGGGACCACCCTCTCTCATATAGAAGCACTGATCACTTCCCTGGCCCAACCAATTGTTCGCTCCCTGCTGGTTTTTACCAGCCAAGTGGGGCAAGGGTTTAGAGCGCTGGTGGTGACCCTGACTGATCTGAGCACTTTGTTCACATCCTCAAGCCTTACCAACTGAAACTCATCTGACACAACAGGACTATAAGGAGTAGCAGTATGCTTGGTGAGGCAGAGCAAGAAAAATATTCTGCTGACAGTAGGGCCTTTCCCCCCTGCTTACTGAGATTGAGAGCAAGAAAATGGTGGAGTGGCAGGCATCTTTGCCAGAATGGCACCTCAGTAAGAAACAGTCAATCCTCACATCCCTTGTTAATCAAATAGAAGAAAATTATAAAATGTATATGTATATGTACGTATATATTCAAACTGATTTGAAACCCGAATGAACAGAGAGCTAAATAAAACCAACATATTGACAAAAGCATAGGGGACTCCTGAAACACCTTAAAGGCTTAACAGTACTTTATTCCATAAGCTTGTGTGGACCCCCATGTTGTTCAGGAGATGAGTCTTCCTCACTAGCATAATTTCAGGTTTACAGGAATATACAGTGGTACCTTGGGTTAAGAACTTAATTCGTTCTGGAGGTCCATTCTTAACCTGAAACTGTTCTTAACCTGAAGTACCACTTTAGCTAATGGGGCCTACCACTGCCGCTGTGATTTCTGTTCTTATCCTGAAACAAATTTCTTAATCCGAGGTACTATTTCTGGGTTAGCGGAGTCTGTAAACTGAAGCGTATGTAACCTGAAGCGTCTGTAACCCAAGGTACCACTGTAATCTGACTAGAGCTCTAGTAGTCTGTTCTGTGTAGGACCACCTGCTCCAACACTCGGTACCTTTAGATGCCACCAAGAACTGCACCTTCCATCTTATGAATTATACTACATATGATTTTATTTTGTTCTTATGTCACAAGGATTATTTTGAATGACATTAACAGGTCTATATTGGAAAGCTGCCATTTGTTCTTCTATTAACAATGGCATCTAGCTGATATGTGGCTGTTTCAATTAGTCCCTTATTAACTGGAGAGCCAGATCAAAGCCAGTTCCGTTTGCATGGAAAGCTGGGACTGGAGAAATCTGGAATATTCCATCAGCTCCAAATCAGATAACCAGGGGCAGAGAGGATGAATACTTGGATGCCCAGATTCTGGTGTCTTATAAATTTACTGTTTGGTTTAAATGTTAGTTTACATTCTAGCACAGGGTGAACTTGCGTCTGATCACCAAGTTGATTAAAACAAAACAAAAAACACAATTGCATGTTTGTCCTAGGAGATGAAAAGGTTAATTGTAGCATACACATCTAAACAGAGTGAACACTACTCTATTCCATAAGCTTGTGTGGACCCCCATCATGTTTTATTTATTTATTTATTTATTTATTTATTTACGGCTATTAGCCCATAAAGTATGTACAAACATAAAAGCACAGAGGCATAAAGACTAATATATTCGGCACCAGAAGGTGAACACCATGATGCAGGGGTGGGTCATTGAGCAGAGCCAGATAACAGCTTGGGGCCCGGAGAGCTCCAAGGGACGGATCCCAGAAAAGGAGAACTGAAGACGGGATCCGACATGCACTCTCTTCAAAACTGTCCGATTAGTTTTTGATGTTGTTGTTTTTGGTGGTTTTTGTGTGTGAGATAACTGCATTCAGGAATCTCGCCACCTGCAGAGTTACAGAAGGATCTGTATCCTGCAAAAGTAGTGCGGCATGTGACTCAGCAGGCCTGCCAACCAAGCGCAGTAAAGCAGGGCCCAGGAATTTAGTCCTGGCTATGCTATGTAGGGGACAGTTGAACATTATATGTGAGAGAGAATCAACAGTTTTCCCGTCACACACGCATAGCGGAGACACCAAACCCTTGGAAAATCTGTGGCTCAGCAGGTTCGATGGAAAGACATTGAACCTTGCACGAATAAATGCATGTCGGTGTGGTACAGATGAAAGAGATGACATGTATGATGGAAGGCCAAGTGGTGAGGTTATTCCGTGATACCTGGGGAGCAGACACCCTCACCCCGGCGAGGTTGTGTTGATTTTCAATGTCTGCTAATCTCTGCTCAATAAGTCTTTTGGCTGAGCGTAAGTTCATCTTTAAGGAGTCCGCTGGGGAAATTCCGATGCTCAGAAGTTTGGCATGGATTTTTCCTACCCATGGATTGACAAAGTCGTCCCGCCAGAGGCACTGAAATAGGTAATGGTTGGGAAGCCTGTGCCAGCTGGACAGCCAATAACCAAAGACTCGCTTCCAGATGACCGTCTCCAATGATGCAATCCTTAACTCCAGACGTATGGCTGCGTTGCTCACACACATGGGGAGTTTCAGGAGGCGACGGAGAAACTGATTCTGCAATGTCCCCAACGATGTTAAATTGGACCCTGGGGCCCAGAGCGGGGCAGCATAACAGAGGGTGGAAACCACTTTTGCATGGTACACCTTCAATGCAGAAGGGATGTGGGAGGCTCCGTCGGCCGCAAAAAATTGGAGTAGAGTATAAAGTATTGTTTTCCCTTTGTTTAGTAAATACTGTATCTGTGGCTTCCAGCTTAGGTTGTAGTGAAAAAGACTCCCAGGTATTTAAATTTGAAAACTTGTTCTAATTGGACTCCATCTAACTTCCAGCTGTAAGTTTTCCGAGACCTGGTAAAGACCAGGACTTTAGATTTCCCATGATTAATTGTCAGATGGTTGAGTTTGCAATAAGCCGCAAAAATCTTTAGAGCTCTGCATAAACCGACTCTAGAGTAGGAAAGGATCGCTGCATCGTCGGCATATAAGAGCAGAGGGCAGCGAAAATCAGCTAGGCGGGGGGCATGAATGTTGGCTTGAGACTCATTCAGAAAGAGCTTCATATCGCTAATAAACAAGTTGAAGAGGAGTGGGGCCAAAATGCAACCTTGGCGCACACCTCTATTTATTGGGACCTCGTTGGATAGGTTTCCCGCCGGTGTGAGTCTCACTCTAGCCGACGACCCATGGTGTAATTGGGTTATAAGCCATAACAGCCTTCTATCTATGCCCCATCTCTCTAATTTCTTCCATAGACAGTTTCTTGGGATACTGTCGAAGGCGGCCTTTAGGTCTATGAAAGCGACACATAGGCGCCCCCGACTCGGGGCAGAATATTTTCTGGCAAGATGATACATGATTACCATATGGTCAGTGGTCGAATAATTGTTCCTAAAGCCCGCTTGCTCGTGGCCAATCAAATTTGAGTCGTTTGCCCAATTGGACAGCTTGGACAGCAAAAATTTTGCATAGATTTTCCCGATGATAGACAAAAGGCTGATGTTCCGATAGTTCTCCGGGTCAGCAGGGGGACCCTTTTATGGACTGGCACGATCACGGCCTCCTTCCATGACCTAGGGATAAGCCCCGTAGAATTAATTGCATCAAAGACTTTGGCCAGGATTTCAGCCCACCACCTCGGTTGCGCAACAATAGCCTCAGCAGGGACTAGATCCAGCCCGGGGGCTTTGCCCGTTTTCAGATCTAATATCAAGTCCATTATCAGGTCTGGGTCGGTAGAGGGCCACAAAGGTAGATGGTCGATTCGGAATTCAGTGGATGAGTTGGATTCCTCTGCCAAGGAGAAATATTTGCTCAAGAATTGTTCCCATGTGGGCGCAGGGATAATCGTCAGTGGGTACTTCCTTCCTCTTTTGTTTATCAAAGCCCAAAATTCCTGTGGTCTGCGGGATCTAGAGGCCGCAATCAAGGCTCGCCAACGCTTTAGATACCACTCACGTTTGGCCAGCTTTAAAGTCTGTTTGTATGCTCTTTTGGCTTGTAAATAGGAGGATGGTAGAGCCTGGGCATTAGAGTTTTTGTATTCATTATAGATGGAACGAAGAAGGGATCTTGCTTGTTTGCAAGAGGTATTAAACCAAGGGGCCCCAGCACTGCAATGCGCTACTTTCGCCTTTTGAGGAGGTAATGTAAAAAAGTGGTAAGGTTTGTTGTAAGAAGGTTAAAAATTTCAAAACCGAATTGGAATCTTGTAAATCAGTAGCTATTTGAGGTAGATAGGCAGTGATTTCCCTATGGAAAAATCCTGGTATTTTTGGGCCACAGCCTCCGACCATTTGATCCCACTTATTTTGGTCGCTGATGAGGTTTCCAGAGGGACTGAGTGTTTATAGTCCTTCTGGTACCGGAACAATGACAAAGTGGTCACTATTGGGAGGTGATCACTGAAATGTTGGTTTTCAACCTGGAAGGAAAGTACATTGACGGCCAAATTTGCGGAGATCAAGAGGTAATCGATAACACTGTTAGATGCTGGTCCCAGGTGAGTGAACTCCCCCGGTATATCGGGGGGGAAGGTGCCGTTCAAGAATACTAGATTCAGGCGAATGGCCATTTGGTAAAGGGTCACTCCAGCTTTGTTTACTCTGTTGTCCTTTGAAGTTCTAATTCTAGCATGTTCCAAGTCAAAGTTGCCCAAACATGGGGAGTCCACCATTTGGACTTGATTAGTAGGTCCCAATTTGTGGCAATTCGAGCATTAAAGTCTCCCCCAATTAAGGAGTACGAGTTAGGGCATTTGGTATGACATGACAATAGGTGATTTTCAAATGATTCCCATCTCAAATCAAGATCAGGTGCTGAGCCTTCGGGGGGGAGATAACCATTAGTAATTAGTAATGAGGACTTCCCTTCTGCGATCAGTCCAGAAAGAGCAAAAGGCGGGGAAGCCCGTACCAGGGTGAGTTTGGCGCGAAGTTGGAGTGAGATCCCAATCAAAAGACCCCCTTTGGGGCGACCACCTTTCAAGGAAGGGGAGGCCGGAAGTGTTAGAAGATCAAAACCGTCTATGGTAATCTCTTCCTCATCCCATGTTTCTTGGAATAGGATGATGTTAAATGAATTTATATACTTCCTGAATTCGGGGTCTGATTGTTTGGTTCTCCAACCAGCAATGTTCCAGCTAAGTATTGATAATGTCGGGTCCTTGTGCTGTCCCGGTAATTGTCACTTTGAGTTGTTTAATGGGTTCTTGGAGGTAGAGCGAGGACCATATAATGCATTGCGGTAATCTAACTTTGAGGTTACCAGAGCATAGACAGCAGTAGTTAGGCTATCCCTGCCCAGATACTGTAGGAGTGTAGCTGGGCCACCAGACAAAGCTGATGGTAGGCACTCAGGGCCACTGAGGCCACCTGATCCTTGAGTGACCGCAAAGAATCCAGGAGTACCCCGAAGCTACGAACCTGCTCCTTCAGAGGAAGTGTAATCCCATGAAGAGCAAGTGCTCTCCAACCCATCTGGTCTAGGCAACCACCCACTAACAGTGCCTCTGGCTTATCTGGATAGAGCTTCAGCTTGTTGATTCTTATCCAGTCCATAACTGAGGCAAGACACTGGTCCAGCACTTCTAGTGCCTCTCCTGCAGATGTAAAGGAGGAATACAGCTGAGTGTCGTCAGCATACTGCTGACAGTGTATTTCAAAGCTCCGGATAACCCCACCCAGCAATTTCATGTAGACGTTGAACAATGTAGGGGATAGGATTGTGCCCTCAAAAACCCCACATTGAAGGTTCCACGGGGCTGAAAGGCATTCCCCAACTAACACCGTCTGGGAACGACCATCCAAGTAGGAATGAAGCCACCACAAAGTGGTGCCCCCACCCCCAGTTCAGACAGTCACTCCAGAAAGATACCAGGGTCTATGGTATTGAAAGCTGCTGAGGGTCGAAGAATTATCAGGGACATGCTTCCCTTGCCTCTTTCTCAACAGAGGTCATCATACAGGGCGACCAAAGCAGTTTCTGTGCCAAAACCATATGGATCCAGAAAATCAGTTTCTTCCCAAAGCACCTGGATCTGGTCTGCGACCACTTGCTCCAGAACCTTGCTCAGGAAAGGGATATTAGCAATTGGCTGGTAATTAGTTGGGTTTTCTGAATCCAGGGAGCTTTCTGAAGGAGTAGTTTTACCACTGCCTCCTTCAAACAGGCAGGGACCACCCTCTCTCATATAGAGGCACTGATCACCTCCCTGGCCCAACCAACTATTCCCTCCCTGCTGGTTTTTACCAGCCAAGAGGGGCAAGGGTGTAGAGAGCTAGTGGTCACCCTGACTGATCTGAGCACCTTGTCCATATCCTCGAGCCTTACCAACTGAAACTCATCCAACACAACAGGACTATAAGGAGTAGCAGTATGCTTGGTGAGGCAGAGCAAGAAAAATATTCTGCTGACAGTAGGGTCTTTCCCCCCTGCTTACTGAGATTGAGAGCAAGAAAATGGTGGAGTGGCAGGCATCTTTGCCAGAATGGCACCTCAGTAAGAAACAGTCAATCCTCACATCCCTTGTTAATCAAATAGAAGAAAATTATAAAATGTATATGTATATGTACGTATATATTCAAACTGATTTGAAACCCGAATGAACAGAGAGCTAAATAAAACCAACATATTGACAAAAGCATAGGGGACTCCTAAAACACCTTAAAGACTTAACAATACTTTATTCCATAAGCTTGTGTGGACCCCCATGTTGTTCAGGAAATGAGTCTTCCTCACTAGCATAATTTCAGGTTTACAGGAATATACAGTGGTACCTTGGGTTAAGAACTTAATTCGTTCTGGAGGTCCATTCTTAACCTGAAACTGTTCTTAACCTGAAGTACCACTTTAGCTAATGGGGCCTCCCACTGCCGCTGAGATTTCTGTTCTTATCCTGAAACAAAGTTCTTAATCCGAGGTACTATTTCTGGGTTAGCGGAGTCTGTAAACTGAAGCGTATGTAACCTGAAGCGTCTGTAACCCAAGGTACCACTGTAATCTGACTAGAGCTCTAGTAGTCTGTTCTGTGTAGGACCACCTGCTCCAACACTCGGTACCTTTAGATGCCACCAAGAACTGCACCTTCCATCTTATGAATTATACTACATATGATTTTATTTTGTTCTTATGTCACAAGGATTATTTTGAATGACATTAACAGGTCTATATTGGAAAGCTGCCATTTGTTCTTCTATTAACAATGGCATCTAGCTGATATGTGGCTGTTTCAATTAGTCCCTTATTAACTGGAGAGCCAGATCAAAGCCAGTTCCGTTTGCATGGAAAGCTGGGACTGGAGAAATCTGGAATATTTCATCAGCTCCAAATCAGATAACCAGGGGCAGAGAGGATGAATACTTGGATGCCCAGATTCTGGTGTCTTATAAATTTATTGTTTGGTTTAAATGTTAGTTTACATTCTAGCACAGGGTGAACTTGCGTCTGATCACCAAGTTGATTAAAACAAAACAAAAAACACAATTGCATGTTTGTCCTAGGAGATGAAAAGGTTAATTGTAGCATACACATCTAAACAGAGTGAACAATACTCTATTCCATAAGCTTGTGTGGACCCCCATCATGTTTAGAATAAGAGTATTCAAGAATAGTATAGTTTCAGGTTTATAGAAACACATATAGATATATAAATGCAGGGAGGCATGGTGCAGGAGTGTCATCAGAGGGAAAGGAAATGCCAAAAACTGCAGACAATGAAAATGAAATAATTAATGTAAGGGTGCCAAATTACTCATTAGACTGGGAAATAAGTTTATTCTGCTAGGATGTTTAGAGTTGAAAGTGCAGAGGAGAAAAAGCCAGAAATCAAGAAAAGAGCAGATGTGTCAAAGATACACAGCAAATTGCAAATAACACTGCTCTCCTGTAGTATAAAAAGATGTGGGCTGAATATGTTTTATGAACAGGAATAGGGCATAACAGTCTAATGCATCAAAATATCTTCCCTATTGACAGCGTAATCACAAAGTTCTATCAGAACATCTTGGCCTTGGTTTTTACCATACAAGAGATCAATGACAATCCGAAAATCTTGCCCAATGTCACACTTGGTTTCCACATCTATGACAGCTACTTCAATGGGAGAATGACCTATCGAACCACATTGGACCTTCTCTTCAAATGGCAAAGATTTGTCCCAAACTACAAATGTGACACTCAGAAAAACCTCATGGCTGTGATTGGGGGACTTACTTCTGACACATCTATCCACATGGCAGATATCTTAAGTCTCTACAGGATTCCACCGGTACAATCAGTGCAGAGGGGACTGTGGGAAGTTTCTTTTGCAATACTTTTATTCAGAAGGAAAAGAGAAATATTAGTGTGATATAGAAATAACCTGGAAATTTCATTATTTCCCCATAACTAGAAATCCAACCAGAACTTTTTTTAATAAAAAAGTAATTCAAAATTTGCCTACAAATTTCTTAAGGAAATGTTCTTCTATGTTATCATTTTCTTTTAGCTCACCTATGGCTCATTTGCTTCAGAGGAGAGTCAATCAATGCAGAAGTCTTTTTATACCATGGTCCCAAATGAAGACCTTCAATATGTAGGGATTATCCAGTTACTTCAGTAGTTCAGGTGGATGTGGGTGGGGCTCTTTGTTGCCAAATATGACAGCGGAGAACATTTTTTGAAGATCCTGGAGCCATTGTTTAGCCAGAATGGAATCTGTTCAGCCTTCACAAAAAGAATCCCACTTCAAGTTGTTTTAGAAGATCTGGAAAAAATACCTGGTGAAATTGAAGGTATTTATGAAGGTCTCAGAGATGAAAAGACCAGTACTGTTATCGTCTATGGAGATGATGGGACAATTGCATATGTGAAAACAGCTATATTTATAATAGATAATAGCAATAAGCAAAACACATCATTTGGAAAGGTCTGGATCATGACAGCCCAGATAGATTTTGTATCATTTGGATTACTGAGAAACATGGATTTTCAAGGGTTGCAAGGTGCCCTTTCCTTTACAATTCACTCAGAAGAACTTCTGGAATTCAACCAATTCCTTAAGAATATCCAAACACACAGGACCAAAGCAGATGGCTTTTGGAAGGACTTCTGGGAGCAGGCATTTGACTGTCTCTATCCTGATCCAGGTATGCCTGTCAAGGATGATGGAACGTGTACTGGAGAGGAGAGGCTGGAAAGTCTCCCTGCAGGTGTTTTTGAAATGCACATGTCTGGGCAGAGCTACAGTATCTATAATGCTGTCTATGCTGTAGCTCACACTTTGCATGCCATTTCCTCATCCAGATCCCCACAGAAAGCCGTGACCGTTGGTTACAGTGTTGGATTTCCATCTCTGCAGCCTTGGCAGGTAATGTTACAGAGCCAAATAGTCTCATGTCAATGAACTGATTAACAGAAGGAGGACAGGAAGTTGCCTTTTACAAAATTAGGCCTCTCATCCATCTGCTTCAGCATTGTGTACACTGTCTGTATTGGAATCTCCAGATTTTGAGACAAGGTGAGATTCCCATTGCCACCGGAAGTTTCTGGGGATTGAATCTGGGCCCTTTCAATGCAAGGAGATGCTCAACCAGGGAGCTGCTACCCTTTACGGCCCCTCTTCTCGTATATTAAAAAAAGAGTTGGCCAAGTATTCTGCATCTTAGTCATGGCAGACTCCCCAAGTGTCCCTATTTT